AACCTACATAATTTAATTTGTCCGAACCTAATCTTATATGATTTTTCTCATTAAATTACTGGGTGGGTCAGATTTGAATTAGTAAGAAAATAGTCTCAAAATTAGGTTTGATCTTTGAAAACCCTTCCAAACCCAACTCGCTATGTATGTATATATTTAATTTTTTTATTATTATAATATATGTACACCTATATAAATAAACAATATGTATTATATTAATAAATATAATTAGCATATGTTATAATATATTGATAAATATATTTAATTTTTTTTATATAAATATAATTATGTTTATGTTAATATAATAAAATGATCAAGCTGGGTTCGGGTTGAATAAACAATAAACCCGACACGATTTAAAAAAAAAACACTTAAAATCCATATTTATATTAAAAATATAATTAGCATATATATAATATATTGATAAATATATTTTTAATTTTTAATGATATAAATAGAAATACATTTATGTTAATATAATAAAGTGACAGGTTGAATTCAAATTAAATAAATTATAAACCTAACACAGCTTGAAAAAATTTATATAAAAAAAAACCTTAAAACTCACTCCTGGTCTAGAGCCAATTTGTGTTTGCTTTTTATAGGAGTAGATCAAGTTCGAATTTAATAAAATCTGTCACAAATCCGTCTAGTTGTCATTCTTATTTTTATTCAAAAAATAAATTACATTAAGTACCATTTAATTTATCATATTTTATATTTAATTCTGTCTATTTTAATTTATAATATTACCTGTAAATATATTCAAAAATACATAAATTTCTTTCTTATTCCCAAATAAAAGATCTGCTTCTTATGCTAATAGTATTCACTTTCGTGTTGATTCACGATATTTAAAGTTTCATTCTTAAATTGATAAATACAATTTAGGGTAAGTAATTTGTCCACTTTTCTTAGAGATATTCAAATTACTCTACCACTTTTTTTTTTTTTTGCAACCCATATTTTTCTTGTCATTGACCTGTGCGGCCTAAAATTGAATACTATTTAAATCACCATTATGTTATACCAAGTTCTTTTGCATACTTGACAAACTTCATCCAATTCAAGCTAGTTGCCAACTCCTCCCGCATTGAAATCCCACAGCAATCCCCGTGCATGTGTAGGTTTAAAGAACTAATAAATGTTATTTCTTTAACTCAATTCGATACAATATATTTTGTTAAAATATATTTTAAAATTTTTATTATAAATATATATTATTATTATGTGAGTTTTAGACGAGAGAGAGAATACGAAAAAAATAAAATTAAAAAAAACAATTAATTGAGAGGAAAGTAGATGAAAGAAATATATATATATATATATATAAAATTAGCAAATCTCCATTGTAGCCCATTTATGTGTCTTATCTTTTTTTAAAAAAAAAAAAAATCTATTCCTAATTTAATTAAAACCAAATAAAACCCCTACTCTATCTTGGCCCAGCCCAAAACAAAAACTATCACCACCTCACACGCAGACCGTGTCATTTGGTGCGAGAGAATTGCTTCTGCTGTGGATGAGAGAGGGTACGCAGTGAAGAAAGCAAAAATAACTAAGAATCAGACGAAGAAGAAGAAGAAGAAGAAAGAACAGAAAGAAACTAACAGGTTTTTAAGAAATAAATTTTTACTTTACTGTTTTTAAGAAATACCGCATGTATGTGCTCTACATCAAATTATAGTTTATTGAAAAAACAAATTAGATTTTTTATATTTAGCAATTTTAAATCAATAATTATTACCAAAATTATTTTATATTTAAAAATTACAATGTGTGAAATTTATAATCAATTAAAACTTAAATTCTCTTTCGATATTTTAAAAATTCAAATAATTAATTATTATGAATGTGATTATATTAATATTCTTTTTATATTTTAAAATTTGGCCATATAATATTTAAAACTTTGCCTCTATATAATATATAATTATAATTATCACACTAATTTTATTTTTTATTTTTAAATTTTGAGTTGATAATATCTAAAATTTTATCTTTATGTAATATATAATTATAATTATAATTAACATGTTATTCTATTTATATCTAAAAAAAAAAGAAAATGATATGAGGCTTTTTTCAATATTATTTATATCCATATTGATACTAAATAGTTTTGTTAAGAAAGAAACCTAAATCCATTTATGAATCTATATATACACACACACACACACGAAAGATCTAATGTGAGTTAGAATTGAAAAATCGGTCTCCTTTTTCACTAATAAATATAGAAAAAAATATGATAAAATATGAAAATAAATATAATAAAAAAAAATTTCTATAATTTAAAAATGTAAGAGCCAGACAATAACGATGAATTTCCAAAAATAGTTAAAATATCTTATAAACTCATGCACTATTTAATTTTTTTTAATATAAATTATATGTTATTTTTTTAATTTATTTTACCATGTACTTTAAATTTTTTACCATATCAACTCTCATGTTAGTTGTCGTTAGAGGACCGTTAACAATTTAAACATGTTGCCAATAATGTGTCAAAAATATGATATATAAGTGATGATGTGTGATATGACGTAGTAACCACTGTCACATTAAAAAAATATATCAAAATTCCAACTAGGTCCCATGATTCCTTCATTTATTTTTGTCATCATTTTTTATTGAGCTTCTGCATTGTTCAATTTTTTTTAATCTAAATCCTTATACTATTTGATTTTTTAATTTAAGCCACTATTTTATTAAGTGAAATTCAATATAAAATAATTATTATTTATAAGGTCAGACACTGACAATGAATAAAATAAAGATAATAAATTAATATTTCTTCTTTATTCTCTCATTTACAAACGCCATCAAATACACTCTTTTGGGTGATGCAATTCGGATCCATTAGATCCCATTCTCACTCTGATCCCTTCATACTCATATAATATGATATTTTCTAATATAATTTTTGGAACCCAATAAGGTGATCTAATAATAAATCATTACTCTAATTATAACTATAATTAGGGACAAGTCTCGAATCTGTCCCAACAACAGACTCTAGCTTTTTAGGGTTTGGTTGATTAACGGATCAACTTAGGAGACTATTAATATAGGCAATCTCAACCATTAACCAGGTTAGCTTATGGTACCCATAAGGTAAATGATTTGAATAACCCTAACTCACCTGTGTAACGTCCACATCACAATAACAATTACACCTCCAAATATTTTGTTCTCAACTATTTGTTGAGTCGTGAGCAAAAAAAAAGTGTTCCATGGACTGAAGAGGAGCACATGATGTTTCTATTTAGACTACATATGTTAGGTAAAAGTGATTGACGTGAAATCTCATACAACTATGTTATATCAATGACACCCATTAAAGTAACCAGTTATATACATAAATATTTTATTTGGCAAACCAAGATGTTTAGGAGAAAAAAATATTTAAGATTGTTTGGTATCATAGTTGACAAATCAATTGATACTGCACTGGTATCACATGATTTAACTCTTAGCAATGCCCCAAAAAAGACACAAAACAATAATTTATTACCTCATCCTCCTGCTTTGGATGAAGAGTATGATTAAATAAGATTTTAAAACTTCAATGATAGAGAATTTATTTTTTCAATATAAGATAATTTATATTTTTACTACCAAATAATATACTCTATTTATTTATTATTTTTTTAATTTTATTTTTTCATTTTGACTAAGGTATAGTATGAAGTTAACAAAGAAAAAAAAAACACAAGTTTTATGGCTAACTATAGTGCATTTAAAGAGCAAAATCAATATTGAGGAACTGGTTGGCACGTTAAAGCTCAAGTCATGAGAATCAACTTGTCATGCTAGGCCATCTTATTTTTCATTAAACTTCAAAAAGGCCTTTTGTCATGATAATATGCATTTTGTGCTAATTTGGACTCAGGTGTTTTAACAAATTTCAAGAATATATTTACTTAAAATATTTTAAAATATATACTCCTACACTAAAAGTTCTTAAAAACTTTAACTAAATAACTCAAAAGAGACGCCAAATGATAGTGTATATTTTTTTTAAAAAAACAACTATTTCAATTTGAAATTCATTTAACGGAAGAGGGATATAGATAGAAAAAAATCAATTAGTATAAGAACTACGAGTAAGTAGATGGCAAAAAGAAAAAAAAGAATTGGGAGATCCTAATAAAATTTAAAAATTTTAAATTTAATATGAATATCACACTATGCATCATATTATTGTTGACGTGTCATATATTTAATACATTATTAATCACGTACTTAACTATTAAATATTTTTTTAACGACAGTTAAAGTTAAAGACGGATTAAGTAAAAATTTTAAAATATATAATTAAAATAAAAAAATAATATATAAGTTAAAATAAAAAAAAATCACATAATAATAACTCATAACATATTTTGACCATATGCAAACTTTTGACAATATATAAGCGTAAGTTTTTTTTTTTTAAGGAATATATAAGCCTAATTATCATAATTAGCACGATTTTTTACTATTAAATGTTATTTTGTATAAAAATTTAATAAAAAAAATAAAATATAATAAGTTAATTTCCTTATAATTTTCATGCCATGCCCCCCGAGTCCCCAACAACCTTGGAAATTTCTTATTTTCCTTTTCCGCCGCATCATGCAACTCTGGATCACCCTACAGAAGAGGAAGTCTAAGGTACATTCCGCTGACAGCCAAACAAACAGAACGTAGATGCACCTGTACTATCCATGGAGCCTACGTCTTCTGCCACGTGGAACCAAAATTTCCCCAAATTTTCAATTCGCGCTCCCTAGGAAATAATTTTGCGGCGTCTCCCTCCATCTCCAAATTCCGTTCCCAATCTTTGGAGCCAAAACACGTTGCAATTTCTGCCATGTCAGCATGGGCCCCACATTTCTAATTTTTTTTTTTTTTAAATATAAGTTTTCTCTTCTAGAATTATATTATTAGGGAATAATATTTTTGGTCCACAAATTAATACCTTATAATTACTATTTCTCCCTTTGGAACTCGTCGTTAATTGAGCCATCCTATGCCTGCTGTGTTTTGTTCTAAAGGTTCACAGAGCTCTGGTTTCTTTTTCCTTTGAGAGAGAGCGATTTATTTCTTGAGAAAAACTTGCCTGGGTTTCGGGAGGAATCAATTCTCTTTCGGTATCGGTTTCAGAAATTGAATTCAGCAGTTTTCTTTTCCAAATTCATATCGATTTTACCGGAGAGGTTAAGGATACTAGCGAATTTTCCAATCTCATCCCTCATCTGGGATCTCGCACCTGAAATTAGGGTTTACATTGTGGTTCAAGTGCGTCTTTTACTGGGTTTTTTTTTGATAAATCGAATTTAATTTGGTGGCAAGTTTCTTGAAATACTCAAGGTTTCTTTCCAATTTTGGGTAATTATGTTCTTTGATGTGAAATTAGGGTTTGATCGCGAAGATTGAAGTTAATATTGGTTGACATTTGAATATATTATAAGATGATTATCAAGCGAACTTCGAAACTTGAGAAGCCGATTATGAAGCGCTGCAAGAACGAACCAGATGTTGCTTGCGAAGAAGAAGACTACCCTTATCCGATGAACCCGAAGAAGCAGAAGACAAACGGGTACCATTCGCACTGTGAGGTTGAAGATTTTAGCAGCGGCTCAGGTTCTTTGAGCAGCGAAGTGTCATATTGGAGCAGTGAATCCGAGCTGAATTCGAAGAATTTGAGCAACCAGAGGGAATCTATCCGGAGGTCTGACAGCACTCGGCCTCCATTGTTGAAATCATCACGAGGAAGGCTTCAAATGCTCCCTTCGAGATTCAAGGACTCGGTTCTTGATGCATGGAAGAATAGAGATTTAAGGATTGAGGATATAGGTTCGAGTTTTGATGATGATGAATTTAAGGAGAGAGATGAGTTTTGTATTGAAACTTTTGATTCTCATAGAGGAGGATATTTAGAGCAGAAGCCTAGATATAGCAGCTCAAAGTCGCTTACGTATTGCAAGAAGGAGGAAGATAGGGAAATAGATTTAGATGGGTTTAACGATTTTGATAATTCAATGTATGCGAGTTCACATAATTCTGTAAGATCTTCTGTATTGATGGGAAAGCGAGAATGCATGCCTGATATCAATCTCACCGGTTTAAAAAAATTGACGAAGGAGAGGGCTGGGAAGAGGAAGGATGTTTATAAGCCAGAGGACTTTGCTTTGGGTGATATGGTCTGGGCCAAGTGTGGGAAAAGATACCCAGCTTGGCCAGCTGTAGTAATTGATCCTATATTGCAAGCTCCTGATTCGGTTCTGAGGTCTTGTATTCCTGGTGCAATTTGCGTGATGTTCTTCGGGTATTCAAAAAACGGAACACAAAGGGTAAAATAGATACTTCTTTCTCTCTTTGATAAATTTATAATTTTCTGGACAATTTGAATTTCTGTCTTTTGTTTATGGTAATAATCTTCTGTTTATTTTGTGCTGAACGCAATGCTATTATCAGGACTATGCCTGGGTGAAACAAGGAATGATCTTCCCCTTTGCAGAATTCATGGATAAGTGAGTATATTGCTGGGCTTTCCCTGATGTTAGCTCGTTTGCCTGGGAGCAGTTTTTATTTGACAAAAAGTTTGCTTGGAGTTTTGTGCTTAAATTTATGTATCTGCAGATTCCAGGGGCGGACTCACCTGCACAAGAGTAAGTCAAGTGATTTTCAGATGGCTCTAGAAGAGGCAATTTTAGCGGAGAATGGTTTCGTGGACACAAACCTGGAGACTGGACATTTAGCTCGTCCAGAAGATCAACCAAGTTGTTCGAGTCAGGATGATGAATGTTATTCTCAGAGCCAGGCAAGCTTTTCATTTTTCCTAAATATTTGAGGGCATGTTATAATCCTCTGATCACAACCATGGGAGCCAAATATCTGACTAGAAACCAATACCTAGTTATTTCAAATGTGGCTTGACCTGTAGCTTTTTCCTCCATTTTTGTCTCAAACTAGTGGGGGTTCTTTTTGAACCGAACCTAAGATTTTGCCATTTTCATGCCTAGGGTGAGGGAAAAAATAGAAGATATTTGGAGGGAGGTTTTGGTTTCAATTATAACATAATATGCAGTGTTTGAACAAATTTAAGTTAATATCTGGATTGCTAAAAATATTTTTTAATAAGCATCCACCAAAGCAATAGCAGCAGATAGTAGCATGATTTGAGGAAATACAAGCTAAATTATGAGATTATGAAATATCATCTAAAACCTAGAATGTGTGAGCAGCCATATAGTATAATCAAAATTTATTGTCAACATCCTTTTTCAGTTTCTGACTTCTAGAAGCTAGTTTTTTATGCCTCACGAGAATTCATCTAGTTTACTAATTGTTCAGGGCGCATATTATAAGGATGCTAGACCTTGTGTCAGCTGTGGTTCACTTGTGCCATGTAAATCTATGAGGAAAGTGAAGGGCCCAATTGGCGAAGAGCTTTTATGCAAACATTGTTCTAAGGTTAAACAAATGCCTTATCTTTTGGTGTGCATAGATGTATAAAGGATGTAAATGTAAACTTAGATTCTTTTGCTGCAGTTACGAAAGTCTAAGCAGTATTGTGGCATTTGCAAAAAGATTTGGCACCATTCGGATGGTGGAAATTGGGTGAGTATATCATCAACTTAAATTTTAATTTTTGTAATCTTTAATTTAATAAAACAATTGAAATAACTGGAAGATAATGTTGTGCCTAACTCTCTGGATTAGGTATGTTGTGATGGGTGTAATGTTTGGGTGCATGCTGAATGTGACCAAATCTCAGGCAAAAGCTTCAAGGTGGGTTTGTTCACCTATTGGGCAGTAATATATATTATATGTATGTGTATATTTTACCGATCTCTCTCATGTTATTTTGCCGAGTTTCATTGAGTTGGTGAGTCACTGAGTTAATTATTATTTGAAGGATCTGGAGCACCTAGATTATTATTGCCCTGACTGCAAAGCAAAGTTTAAATTTGAATCACCAGAGCTAAAGAAGGTGCAGCCAAAAATGAAGTATGTTAGTGATTCTGCTATATTGTATTCATTTATAGGCATGTTTATCTTGCAAAAAAAAGGATACCCATTTATTAGTTGTAAGCTAAATGTTATAAGATTCTTTTGAGACAGGTCTGTTGAAAAGAGTGAACAAAATATTCCACCCGACAAGCTCACCGTAGTCTGCAATGGCGTGGAAGGATTATATATTCCAAAGCTTCATTTGTAAGCCCACTCTCTATAGAAATTTAAGTTTTTTGAAGATAAAATAATGATGTTAATTATACTTTGCTTAAGGGAATAAATGCTTTCAGCAAACTCTCGAGATGGATTAGAACAAATGATGGTGGTATAGTATTTTCATGGTTAAAAAAAAACTTGCTTTTGGATTCTCTGTCCCTCCAATCATCCCCTTCCTCTGTGGAAGGTCCTCCTTTTTCCTTTGATATTGCAAACAGCTTCTGACTCTATATACTTGTCTATCGATCTCTGTTCTTGTGGTTCTGTGAAAAATTATTTGATAAACACAAGTTTGGTCTGTAAATTCAAGCATGTATTTGGCTTTTGTTTGTGTTGTGTAACTTGATGAATTATTCTTGAATTGTTGCAAAGAGATTTTTAATTGCTTTGAATTTTTTCTTTTATTTCTTATTTATTTATGTTCTTCCAGAGTTGAGTGCACATGTGGTAGTGCTTCATGTGGATCAAAGAAGCAGACACTTAGTGAATGGGAACGTCACACAGGTTGTCGGGCCAAAAAATGGAAGTACAGCGTGAAGGTCAAGGATACAAAGCTGACATTGGAAAAATGGGTTTGTACTTACTTTTAAAGTTTGATAAGTTTCTCTACCTTTATCTTTATGTTTATCTTCTATAGAATTGTTTGCATGCTGAGTGAATTGTTTGCCTTTTTATTGACAATAGAAGTTGGTTTGACAGATTTGATAATCATTTTTTGGAGATTTTATTGTTTGTGGTTGCTGCTGATAGTAATGACAAATAATTCATAGTCTGCATATATTCGGTGGCTTTGTACCATACTGATGCAGAAAAGAGCAGAAAGGGAAAGCATAAGATCATGCATCTGTTGAATAAACTTACCAAACACTTGTAGTTTTTTTTTACAATATATCACTAGTAGTTTATCTAAGCTTCAGTTAAGTAAATCTTTGTTAGTGGTGTAGACTTTAACTTTAGGAGTATTGAGGATTCATTAGGAGTTCTTGAGATATCTTTCCTACTCCTCAACACAGTTTCCTTTTAAGGAAGATTTAACTACTACATGAACCACTGCCTTCAATTGGTCCCAATAGAATCTTGTTTTTTATCTGCTGATACTATTTGGAATTTGTCTATTTTGACCTTGACGAGTGAACTAATAAACAAATCTTTCATTCTGATGGAATAGTCTGTAGCATTTTGGAGAAATTGTTTAATCCATAAGGTTTTTTCCTGAAAAAGAGAAATTTGCTGTTTTTCTGATATGGCAACATCTGTCAACCAGATTTGAGTGGACCTTTTGCTTTTACCAAATTAATTTTTTATACTGTTAAGCTGTATATCTAAGCTTCCACAAAAAGTTCCATGTATGGGCTGTCCAAACAAAAAGTTGATGCCTTATTTATTGGTTCTGATTTGGTTTATAAAAAATCTCTGTGAAGTCCTGCTTTATGTACCTGTAATTGATGTGGAGATGCATTATGTAGTTTGAACTTTGAACCTCTTTATGAAATTTCTCTGGTATTAGTTTAATTACAGTGCTGGAAGTTTTTACCAGAATTTCCATTAAAACGAAATACTGCATATTTTGTTATTTTATTAAGTTATGCATATTGTTTTCTTGCAATATTTATACATTGAATCTGCTGCAGCTTGCAGAATATAATTCATGCAGTGTGGATCCTCAGAGATTAGATAAGCAGAAGCTAATTTCTTTTTTGAAAGGTATAATTTATTTGGAATGTTTTGAAGAGTTTTTCTCTTTTCATTGGATTGAGTGTTGGGTAAGTTATAATTGAGAAATGATCCATTTAATTATTATTTTCATTTTCACAGATAAATATGATCCTATCTCTGCAAAATGGACAACAGAGAGATGTGCCGTATGCAGATGGGTTGAAGACTGGGAAGAGAACAAAATTATTATTTGCAACAGGTAGTTTCAGCACTGATTGATTCTGTTAGTACCGGTTTGGTTTAGTAGGTGGTCAGATCAAATTTTATGCTGGTGCAAGATTGGACTTGAGAGATAGCTATGTACATATTTACCAAAAAGAGAATATTTATTCAGGTGTCAAGTTGCTGTTCACCAAGAATGCTATGGAGTGACCAATGTTCAGGATTTTACTTCATGGGTTTGCAGAGCATGTGAAATGCCTGATATTGAGAGAGACTGTTGTCTTTGTCCTGTAAAAGGTATGTAGTCTAGAATTAATTTCCAATGGAGTATACTTGGGTTGGTTGAAAAGTTTTGCTGTAATACAGCAGCCCACCAAGTAGAGAGGCTGTTGTAAGTAGTGACCTTAAGTTCGGACTAAATATCGGAATTCAATAGTAACTTACTCATATCTTGAGGTTCCTACATATCCAAAAAATGAAAGTCATCTGTTGCAAACTTCTGCTTTATGTTAAAGATATTCATGCAGTCAATCCTTAGTTTCTTTTGCTTTTCTGCTGCTTGTGTTAATATGATGTTTTATTTTTGTAAAACTTTGCAATTCATCCTGGGCATTTGAGTGGAATGACGCTTTTCTTTTTTGAATGACATATATTTACATATACATGGATACATATTTATCCTTTTCATATTCTCTGCAAAAATTGCTTCTGTAGGGGGTGCTCTGAAGCCAAGTGACATTGAGGGTTTGTGGGTTCATGTCACATGTGCTTGGTTTAGGCCTGAGGTTGCCTTCTTGAATCATGAGAGGATGGAACCTGCTGTTGGAATTCTTCGAATCCCAGCAAATTCGTTTTTGAAGGTATTTGGTTCCTTCCCATGCATAAATAACTGAAATGTCATAATCTTTCAGTACATTTTTATTGCATCTATATATTACGAAATTCTGATTTTGTAAATGTGTAATTGCACGGATCGCAGAATTGTGTTATCTGCAAGCAGACTCATGGTTCTTGTGCTCAATGTTGCAAGTGTGCCACTTACTTTCATGCGATGTGTGCATCAAGAGCTGGATACAGCATGGAAGTAAGTCATTTACATTTTTCTTTGCTTAGTCTTTTGTGTTTATGCACCTCATATTTTTGGTTTTTCATTTATTCACCTTTTGTTACTTCTTCGTTAATTAGTATCTATAGAACACTTTTCTTTTATTCTGTACCTTGTAATTATAAAGAATTAGCATAAATAATGATGATTTATTTATTTATTTATTTTATCTTGGAACTGCCAGTTACACTGCATGGAGAAAAATGGAATACAGAGAACAAAAAAATTAATATACTGTGCTGTTCACAGGTAAATAACTACTTATTCATCATTTGTGTTAGCATTACCTTTAATGACTATTTACTGAGGATGACAATACAGGAAAGAGACTTTGGTACCACACATATATGAACCATATATATCTATTAATATTGATTTCATGTTTGTATCATCTGTTTAACGCAGGAAGCCCAATCCTGATAGTGTTTTAGCTGTACATACTCCTCAAGGAGTTTTTGCTGCGAGAAGCTTGGCTCAGAATGAGAAGGCTTCTTTCAGGGGTTCAAAATTGGTTTCCTCTGAGAAAATAGAATTTCCTGAATCTGTAGTTCAGGTGACAGATGGATCTGAGCCTCCGTCTGCTGCAAGGTGCTGCGTGTATACACCAAAAAGCTGTAAGGTATGTATCTGGAACAGTTGCTATCTTTTCATTCTCTGGAAGAAGCTTGTAATCTCTATGCTTGTTTCTTTATCTTTTCCCGTTCTTTCTAAAGGAGTTTGAGGATTCTTTTATTTCACTTTGTTTCTTTTCGTGACACAAACAATTGGATCTCATCAATTGTTTCCTTATTATCTTTCATGTTTGTCAGGAGGCTGATGGGGAGGCAATATTCCACAAGCTAATGAGGCCGAGTCATCATCATGTAGATGCCATAAGTAGTCTTTGCTCCTACAAAGTAATTTTTTTTACCATGTTTTGCAATGTTTTTTCTGCAATTTGGATGTAAGTACATTATGGAGAGTCAATGTGATATGGGCTTACATATGCTGTTTCTGATGTCTATACCAGGAAGTCGATGATCTACAGTTTTTTCTTCATTTAAGGAACGACTTCACCACTTACAGGTGAGTGTTTTTATTTTGGTGATCACTTGCAGGAAACTTGCATTGTCTAAGCATAACTGCCTAATATAATTAATCTGTGTATGCCTCCAGATAACTGAGAATCTTCGTGTTTGTTTTGGTAAATCTGGTATACATGGATGGGGCCTTTTTGCACGTAGAAACATTCAAGAAGGAGAAATGGTAAATGCTGCTGCAGTTTTACTACTCTCTTTGTGCTTGTGTCCAATTTTAGAACTTTTAGTAGTATTTTTTCTTTTATTTAAAAAAATCCTAGTAGCACATCTGAAAGAACATCACTATTTAACTCCTCAAGAGTATGTAGCTTGATATTGAAAATGTCTCTCTTCAGGTCATTGAATATCGGGGGGAGCAGGTTAGGCGAAGTGTTGCAGATCTGAGAGAGGCAAAGTACCGATTGGAAGGCAAAGATTGTTATGTGAGTTTCTTCATTACTGTTTCTCTCTGGGTATCCTCCAGGAGACAGCCTTTGTTTTTCTGATAAGGATTCAAGAACAGAATTGGCGGTCAATATCAATCATTCTAGCCCTTTTGTTAGGTCCTTGATAGAATTGGATATACCTTAAGATCCTGGGCAATAAATTTTTAGTTTCTACTTAATTAGATAGGATGTAAAAATTTCATCTCCGGATAGTTTATTTTATTAGTGAAATTGTTACGAGGATAAACATTATGATCCATTCCTGTGTATACAAAATAAGTAATTAGTTACAGCGACTTTGTAAGAAATGGCGATTAGTTGTAGGAATGGCATGTGAATTGAGTCCAGGGAGGCCGTTACTGTAGAATGAAGTGGGGCCTTTGGAACTTCTTTAAACACTGGCCAGGACACTTCATTCTCATTTTTCTTCACCATTTCTTGAGACTAGGTGCAGATGTATTGTAGGACTGAGATTTCCGTCAACTGGGATGCACTAATCTTGTCTCATGTGCCAAAGTGGATTTATGTTAAACAACCTAAGTCTTCTTGTTTCTCTTTCTATCTGCTGCTATTTTGACAATGGTGTTTATTTAGTTTGATGATTACTTAAACCTACTCTGTCTTAATGATTACTATTAAAAGTTCATTTAAATATGTTATGCAGCTATTCAAGATCAGCGAGGAGGTAGTTATTGATGCTACAAACAAGGGGAATATTGCACGTTTAATTAATCATTCTGTAAGTTTTCTGTCTTTTCTCAATAAGATTGTGAAAAATATTAATATGTTGTTTTCTGCATGTCTGCAATACGTGCTGCATTATCCTTTTTGGTGATTGAGTTGGAGTCTTAGTTACTGGTTGCAATGAACTTATGCAACTTGTGATATTTCTACCTGCAACATTTGTTTCTTTCTGTAGCATGATTTGTAATAGAAGTAATAAGGTTTTATTTGAATTTAGAATAGTAGTGCATATTTGAGATGATTATGTAAAAGTTCAGTAACCAAGTCCATGCAAATTGAACTTAGTTGACCTCAGTTGCATGGATAGAGCAGAGATTGGGTTCACATATTTTCATTTGATCAAATTGTTTGGTGATGCTGGGGCTATGACAGAATATTTGTTGTAAGGCAGTGAAGGTATTTGCATTTTGCATTGAGTGGATAAACATGCTCACAAGCATGCGTCACAACCTTCTGCTTTATGACTGCCGTCTGTTGTCATTTGTCATGACTAGACGTACTACCTTGATCTCTTACAAGACAACAAAGACAAAACGTTATTGGTTTGTTTGGTTCGGAGGATGGGTGGATCTATATAATGAACTTCAATTAAAAGATTATAGAAGTCTTTCTTTAAATGATAAAAACTGACGCGAAAGTGGAATTTAGAATACATTATTTTAGCTACACATAAAATATGCAATTCTATGCATAATTGAAAAATGAGTTCCAGATTTGACTAGAATGTAAAATTCATTCTTCTAATGTCATGCGGAATCATATATGGGGTCAATTTTTTCTTCTAAATCTTTCTTATGATTCTCCTAGTGGAACTAAGTAATAATTTTTAATGGATACAACAAAAATTCTGAATTTATTCCAACCATAGTTTTAAGCTTGCAAAATTTGGCATAGACTTGCAGATGCTCATTTGTCATGTTTTAATCGTTACTCTGTTCCCACTATTTCATGATTTATATGTGTTGACATTATGTCTTGTGGTCAATATATTAGTACCTCATGGTAATCACTCAAATTTATGTTTGTCTGACTTAAGTATTTAATCAATGCATAAATGCTCTTGCAGTGTACTCCCAACTGCTATGCAAGGATCATGAGCGTGGGTGACGGGCAAAGCAGGATAGTTCTTATTGCAAAGACTAATGTATCTGCTGGTCATGAATTGACGTATGATTTGCATACATGTTTTCCTTATTTATGCAACCGATTTTGCCTGATTCCTTCTCAAATATATCTTTCATTCTGATAATGTAATGCATGTATTTGATTTTCTACAGGTATGATTATTTGTTCGACCCTGATGAACGTGATGATCTGAAAGTGCCTTGTCGATGTAAAGCAGCTAATTGCCGGAAATTTATGAACTGAGCACCATTTAGTTGCAGTTTTTCATGTGCAAGAAGCATTATCCCGATCTCCTAATCAATGAGGACTTTTACAATTTTTTAAATTTACTCATCTCCTAATCATTGAGGATATTGACAATTCTTTTAGAAGCTAGAGTTTTCATTTTCTTGACCCTTTTTTTGTTTCTTAAGCCTAATTCGTTTTGTAATTTTCTAGCGGTAATAAAAAAGTAAATTCACCAGCCTTTTTGTTGGTGTTATTTTTGCAAGTTGATGCTGAAATCAGTTCGACTTTGCTGTTCTTGCTGGTCATATCTTTAAATTGTACTAAAAATATTCTAAAAGAAAATGAAATAAGATTCCAGCATAGCAAAAACAGAAAAAATATATATATATATATAAACTTATCAAAATAATTAAAATCAGGGTTGAGATTACGATCTCCATAAGTGCCATTTCAACAAATTTTATTTCTCAAATTAAAATTATAAACGTTTCAACTTAAACCTCGAAGCATGAACTTCCAAGTTTGAAGTTCTGAGATGTTCTGTTGATTAGGTCTCAGATAACTCCTAACATGCTGATAACAATAGGCACCGCATTTGCAGACATCTGTTTTTTTTTTTTTTTTTTTTTTTTTTTTTCTTTTAATCGTTCGGCCGAAAGTTATGTAATAAAAATTTACTTTGGGCCTTCGAAAGTAAGGCTATTAAGACAAATATGAATCCAATGGGCCCATCCGAGTACCGGACTACGAAAATCTGAACGAATCGGTTATACCATTATTTGCGACTTCATTTATTTAAAAATAAATTGCTAGAGTTTGTTTTTTAGAGTGTCGGGCTCTTTTCGCGCCTCCATAAGTAGCCGTCGAGCTATCGGCTGGCTCTTTTGAGTTTCAATCGAGATTGATTTTAAAAAGGAAGAAAGAAAGGACCAGAGATACATATACATATATCTATGGAGAAAGAGAGAATCGGGACGCGACTGAGAAGAAGCAGAGGCATTTGTGGCTGCAGCTCTCCTCGTTGCTCTTATCACACTCCTCGCTCCATTTTCTTATGGTAAAATCAACTTCATTTCCCTCTACATTTCTTCTTACCGACATGCGTGAATTTTTCGTGTTTCTTCTCTATCTATCTTTCTTTCTATATACTTATGTCATTGTCTGTTCTATATTTGAATTGATTGACCGTTTTGATTATAAAATGTTTTTCAAGGTACTGACTTAAATGGATTGCTAGACATCTTAATTTACTTCATTTGATATTTATTTCAGTTTCTAATGATTTGAATTTTCAATCATTAACTCAAAATCAGGACCTCCTGTTTGTTGAGAAGCCGTTCCAGTTATACGAAGCTGTTTCTGGAAACAATTTTATTCTGACCTGTTCGTTGAAAACGTTTACTGGTCCGAAACTAATTTAATCGTTATCTGAAGAATGCTTAAGAAGCAGGGAATCCATTGTCTGTTGATCCGTGATTTTAAATATTAGTTTCTACTTTCCACAAACAGATAGGTTATCAAATTCGTGGATTCCACAAAATTCTGTCACCAATGTTTATTTTTGCGTAGACGAGATTTCTTGTCTTGTTTGAATGTGTTGAATCATGTTCATATTTGAGATTATCGATTTGTATTATAGCCTTAAAGTAGTATAGTGAAATTTCCCTGTTTGGAAAGGAAATCACTATTTGAAGTTTCAACAGAACTAAAATAATAAAAGTATTTTTCAGGATATACTTACTCGTTTTGGAGATCTAGATTTTTGACGAAGAGGAGAAGCCGGTGCTTAGTTGAGAACCAAATTTGCTACTGTTTTATTTTTGGCTTTCTCATATCTCCCGAGTGATGGATAATTTCGAGATTGCAAGTTAAAGTTCTAAAATGGAACGATTATGTCAACCGAGTAAAACCAGTTTATTGCTTTCGAAGTTCAAACTCTAACTAATTTGAATTCCCCATGGGAAAATAATCCTTTTCTTTCTCTTCAAAAAGGTACGAGGAGGATCTGTGGACATATATTGCGAGGTTTTTGGATGGAAAATCATTGGTGATGCTGGGAACCACGAATAAGTGGTTCAACAGTATCATTATGCACGAGAGTGTATGGAAGTTTGCGTGCTTGCGTGATCTTCAGGTTCCCAGTCCACCCCACGTGTCCCACAGTTGGATTAAGCTCTATGCTTCAGCTTTCGGTAATATGATCACAGCTGCCAGTGTCTTACACACAATTGCTTATGATGTGTTATTCATTAGTAAGATAGATTACGTGATCGCCATTTGGTTGATGAATTGTTTTCCAGATGGAAGTCACTCTTACTTATTCCGCCAACAGGAGAAACATATTGGTAAGCTTTCTTTGGCAACCCTTAGCCGTTAAACATGATTGTACTAAGGCAAGAGTAACGAGATAGTATGTGTTATAGAATTCATTTGAAAAGGAAATACCAGGACAACTTGCGAGGCATACTTTGCTCTTCCACACTAATATTCTCTTGTTTTACTCTTATCCCCTTTTTCATGGGAAAAATCAGATTGGATACGGATTGGTGCATTTTCTTTTGATTCACCATTTGCTCTCCTCACTGAGAGATTGAGCACTCCTGTAAGAATTCCAAGAGAAGGAAATCTTGATAATATGCTGGAATCCTGTGGTTCATGTGTGCTGAAGAATATCAAAAGCGGGATCTGGATAGCTGGTACCAAGTTTTTCACTCATATAATATGCAACTCACAATTTAAAGCCTTTTGAAATTGACAGAAACAAGGATTTAATAGGATAATTGCAGCTAAATCTGTATTTCAACATGGTTGACATTTTCAGATCTACAGCTGGTTCGATGCCCTGTCTGTGACCTCAACACCTGTGATGGTGAGTGAGTAATCAACATTACCTTGCTGCTAATAAGAAATATAGAGCAGGCAAACTTTTCAGTTGGTAGATCATTTGGTGTAGATTATTATTAGGAGATCAGGCATAAACACTACCCTGGTTAATAAACATCTGCCTAGAATCTTCAGATGCAGTAGTTGTTTAGGCCTACAAATCTATTATGTTCAAGATTTTATAGATTTTATTCATTAACAGCTATATGCAAACAGTTTTACCGATCTTGGATTGAAACTGTACACACGCGTGGATTTTCTATACTTACTGGCCGTTGATTACATCCTACTGTCAATAAGAAGTATAAGTAGAATAAGAGTACGTATTTTATAAATGCAGGAACAATGCAGACTTTAGATGCAAGGCATATAGAGCTTTTCTTGTGTGATGGCTTTAGGAATGGAAGTTGGCAGTACGAGCTTATTGGATCCCATAAAATCCAAAACAATGTAAAAGGAGCTTGTGGGGCTATTTTTGATCTCCAACACATAAGTGAATATTCAACAGCGGGTAAAATAACACACTCAATTCCAATCTGACAAACTATGCTGTCCTACTGTCACCTGGGAAGAATTCACATGAGCAAGGGTTGTAAGAATCTTTCTGCCTTTATAATGAACAAACAGGAATCTTCAATCTCAAGTCATGGACAGGGAAAACTAGTGACTGTCAACCGAAGGCTGTCATCGCACTACATGCAGTTGCAGTCAACACCAATTTGCAGAAAAACGAAGGTAGATAGATGCCTTTCCTAATCTACGAATTGAAACAGGTGTCAAATAAGCTTGTAGCCTTGCAGTTATATCTGCAGGATCTCATGAATGATCACTTGAAGATCGGCTCTACTTGGCTTTTTTTAGATGAGCACAAGTCTGGAGCACTGTGGCTTTGATCAACTTGACACGACTCGTTTGTACCTTTAATTGTCCTTTTACAGTTTACCAAATTGTTATGACTCGTTTATAACATGTGATTGTTCTTTTTCTTTTGGTATATAAACGTGATTGTTCTTTTTCTTTTGGTATTGGATGCAGGAATTCTAGTAAAGTATCACGCAATGAGAGCTGGAAACGAAGGGAAAATTGTTTCAATTAGAATCTCTCAGCAGCTCCTGTAAATCTACCGGAATGTCACATATCATATAACCAAAAGAAAAAGAATATGACACCCACAGTTCAAAAAGCTTTTGAATATTGTTACACAAAGACAAACTGATCCCCCATCTCCATCTGTTCAGTTCTTATTTTACTCCATACATGTAATTCCTGTTGTGTTGCGCAAAATCCAAATAACAGAATAAGCCTAATACACTAACACACGTGTGTTAAAAAAATAAATTTTCATGAGTCAGACTCACAGGCATAGATTATCCAGAAATCAAAACATTTCTTTTTGTCCTGAATGTTTACAAGAAGTCAAGTCCATTCATGATTCAATATGACATAAGCATGTATCAGCATATTTTGATGGTCGCACAATGTAAAGACTAATTAATATACATGGTTACAGAGCATGATGTCCATCAGATGTTATTGGGAACACATGACACCGTCGATTCGCATTCTGTGTTACAGTTGATGGTTAATTCAATTTACTTTCTGGAATGTACTTCGTACAATTGACTGGTCTATGCGATACTATTTAAATGCAAATGATTGTCATACAAGCCAGATGAAATAATTTATATAACATTTGACTTTTACATACATTGAATTGTTTAATGGAGCCCCATGAGCGCAAACAGTTTCCTCTTTTATCTGTAAATAAGACCATCACCATCTCTGGAATAAATTCTTTCAGCATTATTATGGGTATCTTACGATTATTCTTCTCCTCTATGTTCCTCTTTCCTATTCTACTTGCAGCAAAGGATTGCTCGACTTCCAGCTGTGGCAACACCAACATCACCGTTCGCTTCCCTTTCATTTTACAAGGTAAACAGCCCGAAAGCTGCGGCTATCCTGGTTTCAGCCTCAGCTGCAATAGCCAGAGCATGACGGTTCTAAAGCTTCCTCGGACTGGAGAATTTTTTGTGCGGGAGATCAATTATATTACGCAACAGATACGTCTCTATGACCCAGATAATTGCCTTGCCAGCAGGCTTTTGAATTTAAATCTCTCAGGTTCTCCCTTCAAAGGTCTTTTGCATCAGAACTACACTTTCTTGAGCTGCCCAACTCAGTTCACTAACTCTAGGTTCACTGTCATCGATTGCCTTAGCAACGCCACAAGATCAGTTTTGGCTACATCGTCCACGAGTCTTGTCAGTTCCTTGACCTCGGTATGCAAGATACTGGTTACCTTGCCGGTTCCAGTTTCGTGGCCAGTTCAGTATGATGAAGGATTCTCAACTGACCTCAATTATGACCTTCGGCTAATCTGGGACACACCAGATTGTGGAGATTGTGAGGTAGAAGGCGGCATCTGTGGGTTCAAAAGCAACTCTAGCGGAGAAATCGGTTGTTCTATTGTCGCTCAAAAGGGTAAAATCTTGTACTTTATCTTCGCTTCCATCTTATTTTTTACATTACATAAACCAAGATTCCGTTTCGGATTATCTAGGCTGTTTGGAGAGGAACAGGAATTAAATGTTTTTTTCAATGGCAAACGTGAAATTTATAGGAACATAATTTAACACAACTTCGATGGCTCTTTTGCTTGTCATGATATGCAGATAGTAGCGAGTATTAGATAAAAAGTCAAACTGCCAGGAACCTTAAAAAATGGGAATCCTGCGCCAGTTAGGACGCATTTGAGAATGAAAACATCATTTTTTAAATTTAATATAATCACGCTAACAATATCTGACGAAAAAGTAAAATAAGCCAATTGCTTTATTTATTAGCTTTCCACTGCCTACCCATCCGTAGAAGCCAAAAGTCAAAACTCCATCAGTGATTTTTTCGGCAATTGTTATCCAGTGATTCACATATTTTACTTTTTTTTAAGTTTGTCAATTTCTTTGCTCATCCCAAAAGAATTAATAAATAAATACTCTAGTTAATCCAATTTCTTTCGTTAGGACTTAACCCAATGCAGACCTCTCTGCCCGTTTAAGGGGTTTAGGGAGACAAAAAAAAAGAAAGAAAAGAAAACCAGAGTCCTAGTCTAAATAAAATGCAGCAGAACTGCTGTCGATTAGATACAACAATATCCGGAAGGCAAAGATAATAACATGGAAGCTGCGCTTGTACTTGAAATTTCAGGTAAATCAAGCATGGGTCTCCAGATATTCATGATCATTTGCCTGTCAATTGCCGCACCGGCTGTTTCATGCGCTGTTGGGATTGCTGTTTTTGCATGTTTTGCAGACAGGGATAACCGCACTAGGGCCAGGTCTAGACAGCAGATCACAAGCCCGGCTACAGTGACACCAGAAACATCAGTAATAGTGAATGGTTTGGATGAATCCGTAATCGAATCCTATCAAAAGTTAGTTCTCGGGGAAAGCAGGAGGCTCCCTGGACCAAACGACATCACTTGTCCAATATGCTTTTCTGAATACTGCAGCAAAGAGACACTGAGATTTATACCAGAATGCAGACATTGCTTCCATGCAGACTGCATTGATGAGTGGCTTCGAATGAACAATTCATGCCCAGTCTGCCGACACTCCCCATCCCCTGCTCATGCTCCTTCAGATAATGTTTGAGAGTCTGAGACCTACTAGTATCACCCCTCTTATTTCCCGTCAGTTGCCATTGAGATTGGCTGGTCTCAACCACGCTTTTCAACACAATCTGGGATTTGCACCTTTCTATACAGCACAATGGTTAGAGGGTCCACTAGGTCAAATGCTAGAATACTGTTAACTGTATCTTTTACACTTTCCAGCACTGCACTGCACTGCACATATGCAATCTTTCTAAACCGCAGAAGACTTTGCGACACTCAAAACAGAGTTAGAGAACAAGAGAATATTCATTTTTTTAATTTTTTTTTGTTTTCTTAAATAGATTTGCTCCAGTCACAACTAGACGCACAAAGTCCCTTGTAAAAATGCCACGAAAGGATACATAATATAAATGTCAAAGAAACACCTCGTATTGGAAGAGGAGATGACATGAAGATTCGAATCATCAGGATTTGGCAGTCTCTTCATTAATATATAAAAGCAAACTACACATTAACACACAGCAGGGAAGCTTCCCCAGAACTTTTTAGTATGGTGGCATAGGCAATTGTTAACAGTTCAAAAATATACACAAAATATGATCTATTTCTCGTTAATTAGAAAGCAAGCATGCTAGATTGGCAATTATTTCTTTGCTAGCAGCTTCTTTGGTATCTCTTCCAAAGGACAAGCTTTAAGCAACAAAAGTCTGGCAGCTCGCTCTTGCAAAGTACCTCCACATTTTAGTCCACGTGCCTGCAGCTCAGACTTCAACTTTTCCATGCCAAGGATCTACATAGGAATAGAACAGAAAAAAAACAATATAATTCACTGTAACTAGATAAAGTCCCATAAACTGAACAATCATCAACCATCTGGAGGACAAATCAATACCACATCAGATGACAACGTTACACAACATTACTGGTAAATATCATTAGAATTTTAACATCTCCAATGGGTAAAAACTTCTATAAAAGGACTCCTAAAAGGAGCACTTATATGTGTATATCAACAATGATAAGTCAGTCCCTCTCTGGTGATAAAACCAAAATCTTACAGAAGAAGTATCAGTATAAACTACAAGTTGAAATTTTAAGATAATCAGATAATACTACAAAAAAAGTGGACATATTAATGAAGCAAAAACATTAAGGAGAATAGAAGGTGCATATAAGAATTCAAGCAAGCAAGACTTTGCTCTTTATTAGGTCATGTATTTTACCTCCAATTCTGCTGCAGAATTAAATTCATCAAAATTAAGTGGCTTTTCCGGCTTAACATCCTTTCTTGTAACATCACCACATTCTTCGTGAGTTCCTGATTTTATGTCAGTGTTACTGCTTTCTTCAGTAGCAGCTGGCTTGCTCTCAACACCTTCGCCATTTCTTGAAGTTATAAAATTTGAGGGTTGATAAACTACTGCATTCGGATTTTCAGATGTGGGTCCAGCAGATTCATGCTTTTCTGTCTCACATGCTTCATGCCCACCAACTGCTGCTGCTTCCAGTTTAGATGTGCTTGTCAATGGCCTTACTTTTTTATCTTGAACTCCTGGTTCACAGTTTTCTTCCTTAGAAACATATTCTGCACCAGAACATTTCCCAGACTCCATGCTTGGCTGAGGAAGACCATCTTTTTCTTCCTCAGAACCACTCTCACAAGAGCCTCCACCAGAAAATTCTGCATCATGTCTTCCTCCGGTAACTGAGCCTGAACTGCCCTCAGTTTCTTTGTTTAAATCCAACTGACTTCCATCATTCAAAACAACAGATTTCTCCACTTCCTTGTTGCCTTCATCATCACTGCTATCCTCATCTGTATCATCACTGTCACTCTCTGCCAATTTTCCCTTCCCCATCCTAGCAAATCAACAAACTCAAATATCAGCAAAATCAAATTCTTGTGAAATGTATCTGACAGCAAATACAAAATTCCAGGAAAAGAACTCAGCAATGATAAGAGAAATTTTAGAAACAACACTCAAACATTTTAGCATTGAAAAGTCTTGATCCTTAATTATGGAGGATCCTAAGGCAAAGAAAAGAAGCCCCCACTCCACCCAGCTAATCTGCAATTAAATGACTCGGTGAAAGGACATAGAAAACTAACCAGCATAATGATCTCCTCCAGTTACATACTATAAATTCACAACAAATAAATAAGAGGAAAGCTATATTTGGAATGAATCCATAAACTTTCCGGAGTTCATTTCACTTGCTCAACTAGATCCCAGTTAATAAAAATCTTCCTCATGAAATTTCATATGAAGTCAACTTTTATCATCTTAGAATAAAATTCAGTATGCATTACAAACGAATTCTACAAAATTGTCAGATTTTTTCAAGGGAAGCTCAGAGCCCTTAACATTCTTCAACTTCACATAGTTATATGGCTATGGTTGAACAGCCTCGTTCATTTTTTCTACCGTCTTTCCACAAGACAAGACCAAAAGACTAACCATAACAAAACCCTAGAACATTCTAGTTTCCTGCCTGACCCAGTCTCTGTTACTCCAAATTCATCAATGGAGCAAGAAAACAAAGTAGGAAAGGAAAAAAATAAATCAGAATTCGCGGGAAACCCCTAATTCCCTAAAAATAATCCGTGAAAAAGTTAAAAACCCTTACCAGATCTTTAGTCGCTTGCCCTCGGTGTCGGTTGACCGCGCGTTCCCTGCCACCTTGGCCTTCCTCCTCAAACTCCCACATGCCTCCCTAACCGCCAAGCCCACCTCCTCCACACACCTTGCGGACTCTTCCCTGTACTTCTCAACATACTTCTGGGCCTCCCCATCTCCAGCCCCATTCTTTCCCGTTTTCGCATTCTTCTTTATGAACTCCTCCGCGATCTTCTCCAGTTTCCTCTCCTCTTCTTCCATTCTCCACTCCTCCAGCCTCTTCTCCGCGTTCACGTGCCTCAACCTCCGCCCACTCATGTCCCTACATGCGTCGAAATTATTTGTCTTCTTCTGCCCGGCTTTTGTAGCCGCGCCCCTCAGCAGCGACCCGAACCCGCCCTTCCCGCCTCGCAACCTCAACAAAAGGTGGACCGTGGCATCAGGCTGCGAGATCGAAGCGCCGTCACCTACCTGGCAACCGCTGCAAAGGAGGCGCTGGACGTTTGTCGGGATTCTCGTCGCCTCGAAGATTCGCTGCTTGATCTGGAAGCCGTACACCTGCGGGGCAGAGAATCTCAGGGCTTTTGTTTTGCCGTCGAGTAGCCTCACAAACAACTGCAATAATCTGGGCTTGTTGCCACTGTCGATGTTGCTTGAGTTGAGATCCTCCATCGCCGATGAGCTTTTGAGAATTTTGCGAGGGAATTTTTTGGATTAATGTCGAGGGATCGAGTGATGTGCTTCAAGGAAGGGGAGAAATGGGGCACGATTTAGGCTCTTGTTCATATATATAGAAGCCCTAATCTAGATTGGGTTCGGTTATTGGGTAGATTTGGGCCGATGAGTTGGATTTCGGGTTCGGGTAGTGTTAGTTGAAAATTTTTGCTTTTAATAAAAATAATATGAATTAAATTTGTTTTTATTGGTAGCAGTTTATTAAACTTTAAAATAAAGATGTTTTCATTGAATAATCTTCTAGTTCTTTAGCTTTCTTTCCCCCTCAAAAAAATAAAATAAAAAATAAAAAAATCTACCATTGCTGTAAATGTGCCAAACTATTCATCTAATTATCTACAAGATGTAAAATTTAATGTGTTAATTTAATTTAATCCGATCATTGAGCATACTTTCGTCTTCGATTAATCAAATTCATGCACTTTACAATATGTTAAGTTTAGGTCTTGTCCGGTTAAACTAAACAACTCATATACACATTATTTTTTATTAATTTTAATTATTACAAGTTTTAATATTTTAATATTATTTTAAAAAAAAAATTAGTCGAATTTTAACTTGTTATGCTATCTTAACTAAAAAATTTAATCCATCAACAATATTTTTTTTATTCAAAACTAGAGTAAATTTATCGAAATTAAATTTAATTGAATTATTGTAACTATATTAACGCATTAGTAAATTAAATAATTAATTTTATTAAATTAAATAATATATATGTAACGACTCCATAAATCTAAAATAGAATATATAATAATAATTTAAGTATGAAAGCGAAATAAAAAATTAAACTTTACATTCCTTACACAATAACTTAAAAATACTAAATAACATTTCAGGATTAATTCTCTGAAAGAAATACGAGAAATAAGAAAAATAATGGAAAATAAAAAATATGTAGCATTTACTCGCAATTTTCTTGCGGATCGGGCTCTGGAACCAGGTTTTCTTGATCTAAAATGGTTAAATAAATGGTAAACTACACTCGTCCAATAAGGATATTACACTATATCACCGGCACATAAGCAAAAGTTGATATAAAATCAAAACAACTAATTGAGTACTAAATTAAGTAAATTCATTTATCAATAATAAAACCATTTATCGTTCATTTACCATAGTGCAATTTATGAAAATAACCTATAAAGACAATAATACCATACAGATCATAATTTCATGAACAATCAGTAACATAAAATATATCATAAATTCATATCTATCAAGAATAAACTAAATCATAACTATTTCTCATTTCATCAGCCTACTACTATTCATGAGCGTTCATAGGGGTGTTCTTGCTATAAGTGAATAATTTCCTTTAATACTCTCAATTATAAGGCTGTTCCCATACTCCATCCGGTATGAGCGCCAAATTACCAAGTCTTCATACCCCGTCCGGTATGAGGGTGAAGCGAGCCGTCTCCATACCATGTTCGGTATGAGTACCAAATTACCAAGTATCCATACCCCGTCAGGTATGAGACAATGTTCACGGTAGGGTTCCCTATGTACTCGGTTCGTCCACCATCTTTCAGAATATCTAGTAAGGCTGCAATTCCATCTGTTTATTTGATCACACTCATTTTCTGTTTTCCTTTAGTCTCAATTACCAATTCAAACATAATCACATAAACAAATAAACATGCATCTGGTAATGCAATCATGTCTCAAATCCCAAATCAAACAGTAGTCATGCAAGACAGTAATACATGTATTCAAACCATAAAATTAATAAACCAGATACTATCATGCTTTTAGACTGTAAAATAAATCAACATAAATCAACAAAGAATAATTTCTGGTTCGGGCTCCATTAGCAATCCGTAATTAATTATGCATATTTATTTAATTTGCACAAATACTATATTATTATTGATTTAGACTTCATTTCTATGATAGAGAATATAGTGAGAAATCCTTACTCGATTTAACGTCCAAAAGCTAAACTGTTTACTGTGCCTACGTGCGGTCCCTATATTCCCTAAATTTTTCTCCGGGAACTGAAATGCACTAATAGTACCTACAAATGTTCCAAATAAATCCAAAATTAGTCTCAGGACCCACTCGGCTAATTTCGAAAATCTGGCATGGCGGCTCCGTCATGCTCCGGCGACGGTGTTGCCGCCCGCGGCGGCGGTCCGCCTCGGGTCGACCGTTTTTGCATCGATTCCTACGAGTAAATACGTTAAAGGGTCTCCGTTGACCAAAAAATACGAAAAATCGAAACTCACCGGCGGCTCCTCCGGCTCACATTGCGGTTGGGTGTTTCGCTTCAGTTAACCTATAGAGAAGTAAACGGTGATCACAACGGCAAAAAAATTAAGCCAAACGGGAATCGGAAAAGGTCTCATTGGAGGCGGTTTGTGAAATTTCTTGCGGCGGCGGCGCCGGGCTCATTCGGTGTTTTTTGGCCAATTGACCAGTCTTTTCACTCCGATTTGGCTATGAACGAGCATAAAATTGAATTTTGTGCAAAATGAAAAGTTTTTACCTTTTTTTGGTGGTCAGAAAGGGTTCCGGTGCGGCGGCTGGGTTGTCTTCTTTGGTGAAAGGGTTCTGGCGGCTAGAGTTAGAGTTTGGTGCTGATAGAGTTTATTTATACCCATTCGTATTTGATTTGTACCGTCCATTGCGTTTGATCTGGATCGTCCGATTGCGATTAAATAAGGAGTAAATCTAGACCGTTTATCGTGATTTACTCTGGACCGTCCGATCGCTTTTAATACGACCATCCGATTGCGTTAAGGAGGGAGTGTATCTAGGCCGTCCGTGCGCGCGGGAACGGACCTCAGCCATTCGATCGCGCACACGTGCGCCCCCTAGCCTCCCACGTCAACGTCTCTGCCACTTGACGCGTCCTGGTTGGTCAGGGCTGCTGACTGGACGTTTGACGTAATAAATTCTTTTAAATTGCGTTTTAATCCCGCGATTTTCGATTATTCTTTTAAAAAATTTTTCAGAATCCAATTTTTCACTATTTCTTTTCAAAATTATTTTTAATTTAATTTTTCATTAATTTTACTCTATTTTTACATTAAAATAAAAGAAAATAAATTAAATAAAAAATTATATTTATTAATAAAAAAAAAATTGGTGGGTGTTACAATATATTAATCATTATTAGTCTATTGTATACTTACAAAAGTAATATTTTTTTATTTTATCAAGTCAATTTATATTTTAACTCAGAAGATCAAATATTAGCATAAAAAGAATCGGATTAAATATACCTATTTTTGCTATGCCCATATTAAGGCGGACCAAGCTATACATATGGGGTAGATTTTCAGATCCTATATCTATTTTGTTAGTTTTATAAACTAAAATTATTATTATTATTTTTTTTAATAAGAGAACACGTGATTAAATACTATGAAAAATATAAAAAATATTTTTTAAAAGATATAAAAAATATTTATGATTAAAATTATAATTAAAAAAAATTAATAGATTTGACCGAGATATGGTTTATACATATCTTATCTGGAAAGTATTTGAAAACTTTGCTTATAATAGCTACATCAATACTCACATTTACACATTTTTATTTCAAAAAAAAAATAAAACAACAATGTGTATACTGGATTTTTGGGCGACTTCATTTAAATTTTGTTAAATGACAACTTTTAATTTTTTAAATCATAACTCTTCCGATTTTATTTAATTTTTTATATATTTTTTAATTTTTTTATCATGTAGTATTTAGAAAAACTGGCTAGTATATTTTTTACCAGTATAACGCCTTATAATAATGTATATTTAAATTATATTTTCTAAATTTAAAAAAAAAATTAATTCTAACTTGCTGATTTTTTTAATTAAAAATATTTTTTAATTAAATAAAACATACTCGTTCACCGTAATACAAAACGTAAGACTGTTCCACGACTGAAGTAATTGACATGAGTTTGGACGAGAAAACGGGTTATCTAGACGGCGCAGATTACGGACCAAACCCAGATGCCCTGGCGCTTTGGCGGGCCTGATAAGAAAATGAAAAAGGAAGAAAGCAGGAGTCTCCTTCATCATATGTTTCGGGAACACACGGAATAGGGCAAAGAAGAAAAAAAAAAAAAAAAAAAAGAAAGAAGGAAAACTGAGAGCAGAATCAGAGAAGGAAAGATCAAACTGAGAGCAGTGTCGAAAGCAAGGATGAAGAGGGAGGAAGTTCCCTACAAAGGCCGGACCTTTCCGGTTGATCCTAATCTACCAAAATGGGTCTGCCAGAACTGCCACCACTACCTCTGATTGTTGGTGTTGATTCCTACGCAAAGAAATTCTTGAACTATTCCTCTCTGTCCTCTTAGGGTTTTTTCTCACCCGCTTTACCCGTGTTCTTTATGTCATTCTTTTTGTCGCTGCTGTTTGATTCGAATTTGTAATTGAGCAAAA